CTAAGATTGCGAAGCAATCGAAGAGTTATTGGAGGGGGACGAATCTGTCACTCACTCAGTCAGTCTTTCAGTCACTCACTTTTCTGTAAACTTTTTTTTTATTTTTCAATATTCTTTCTGTAGTTTATCACTAGTCGGGTGAACTGGGTCGTCCAGTCCTCTGCCGTGGATTATCTTCACTTGATGCTGGTGTGTATGAAATGGCTGTTTACCGAGTACAACATCGATGGACGATTTTGTATCAGTATACACGATGAGGTTAGATATCTCCCCATGTAAGAGAATTCGGAATCCGAAATCCAGTAAAAAAAGCAGTACCCTGTCAGGGTTCCTGCAGGTCCTTAAATCCTTGAAAAGTGCTTGAATTGAAAACTCGTTTTCAAGGRMAYTTVAARCTCCTTGAAAATTTGAAAATTTCGAAAAAGTCCTTGAAAACTCCTTGAAAAAGATAAATTTCTATCACGATGCGCTAGCGATCATTGAGGAAAGAATGTACAATTAGCATGATTATGATGTTCCTTGAAAATTGCAATTTTGGTCCTTGAAAAGTCCTTGAAAAGTCCTTAGATTTCGTTTTTGATACTTTGCACGGACCCTGCCTGGACTCCGGAATCCTTTTCCTGGAATTCGGAATCCAAATATTTGGAATCCAGAATCTAGAATCCAGCAAAAAAGTATTTTTTTTTTGAATCCCGAATTTCTCTTCCTTTAGCGATACTTTATTATTTTTAATTACTAGTTTCCTCTCGCAGCCGTCATGATGCTCGTTCCCAGGTCTTTACGTTTTTATTTTTGTTTCTATCTGTTGTAAGGTTCGTTATTTAGTGACACACAAGGACAAATATAGAGCAGCTTTGGCTCTGCAAATTACAAATCTTCTGACACGAGCGATGTTTGCTTACAAGCTGGGCATAATGGATCTGCCACAGGTAAAACTTTATAAGGTTATCCAAGGGCGGATCAAGGAGGGTGATTGGGGTTGCTACAATCCCGGACAAAACTGTTGAGACGTTTCTTAAAATATGTTGAATTTCGATGATCTATTTGCCTATTTCTGTGCAATTCTCCCCCTTTCCCCCTCTAATCAATGTTGAAAGGACTGAACAATCATGCACACCCTTCTTGAATCACGTCACACACACAACATTGCTTGGTGGGGGGAGGGGAGGATCAAAATCAGTGATTTTTTAGAGATACGAGAAATGGGATATTTTGCAGTGAAAAAATGCCAGTGTCTCAACTAGTTTTGTCCGGGATTGTAGCCTCCCCCTTTTTATTGAGTTCAAAACCAGATAGATAGATAAGTATAGGTAATAGCATGTTTTGTAGTGGTATTTGGGATAAATACCACGCGTGATATTTCAAAATTGTTAAACAAAATTTCAAGAGCGAAACGAGTAAAATTTGTGACAAATTTTGAAATATCACAAGTGGTATTTATCCCAAATACCACTACAAAACATGCTATTGTTTGTTTAAAAAATGGTTGAATAAAATTGTGTAATTTGAAATACCACTATTAAGAATAAATACCATTCCTCTAAGCCAACTAAATTGCACAATTTTATTCAACCATAATATAAAAGAAGAAATCAGATCTAAGTGGCACTCATTTGAAAAAACAACCAAAACAGGCTAAATCTATCCAATAGTCAATGTTCAGCGACGCCATTTTGTGCAGCAAAGCATGATGGTAGCTGCAGTACTTGCTCATCGTAGTTACTAATAGTTTCGTTGTACTGTTATCGTAACTGTTTAGTTTTAATAACGAAACACTGGTAATCGACGTTGCCGCATGTTCGGGGACAAATTCTGTCCGTCTTTTTGGCCTATAACTCTCAGCATTTACATGTAATTATTTTTATGCGTTTGTAGCCTTCACAAACCTGTGAAACAAAGAGCAACAATCAAAGTGTTATCAAAAAACGTCGTCGTTGCCAGGACACGGTCTATAGTCTTGAGCCTGCAAAGGATATCGGGATTACCATATATAACTATATATTACTTTCAATTATTCAAAATTCTCGGTCTTGTAGCGAATATAGTTTGACACTCATTGACGGTTTGAAAACGTGAAACCGTGGAACATTCTTCAAGGAAAATGTCTCATAGCGAGACTTGTTCGATGGTTTTAATACCCGCAATAGTACATTATACTGATTAGTAGTGTTTGCCGCAATTGAATTGTCAACTTTAGATATTTTGGTTCGATGACTATGCACAAAACAACGCACACAATGAGGCTCCGGGAAAACAAAGGATAATCTTGATTTATTCTTTTATTTCACCGGAGCCTCGTCTGCAATTTTTTTGTGCATGGTCACTGAACCAAAATATCTAAAGTCGGCTATTCAAACCACATAAGCAAATATAGAGGATATTACATGGGCTCGCGGAGATACGGATTTTATCTTCGAGTGTAGCGTAGCGAACGAGTGAGAGATTTTCAACACGAGAAGATAAAATTCGTATCTCCAAGCGACCATGTAATATTCTGTTTATCATATAATTACATATGAAAGCAAATTATGTCGTAAAATATTTTTTTTCCAACTTTTACCATATAGAGAAACCTCGAATGTGTTATTTTCACTAGTGAAAATAACAGTGAAAATATCAATTTTACGTCATGGAGAAATATAGGTATTTCATAGATAATTATATGATAAACTTTTTTAATATATTGCTTACTTATGAAAATCCCGAGATTCTTTGCAGGTTTGAGACTGTGGACTGTGTCCTGGTGACGATAACGTTTTTTGAAATAGGTGTATACTAACCAGGAATGAAGAAAAATTACTATTGTATTATAAACTCCTCTTTTGAATTTGATGCAATGGTAACGCGTGACGTTGTTTATGTAGTCCGTANTTAATTTTGAAGAAATATGAATGTGTTTTTATTTTGCATCGTTTATCCAAATGGCTTCGCTTTTTGGCAAATTAATTTATCAACAAGAATTGTCGATAATCACTGTGACTTCTGTGAAAGTTTGAGAGCAATTGAATCGAAATTTGCGACGTAGTTGGAGTTTAAAAATACGCGCGAAACGCTATTTATTACGATCGAAACACCTTAAATGTATCCAACACTTTCCACTGTTTACTACAAAATAGTGTTAATTAAACAATAGAAAACAATAGAATTAGCATAATTTAGCATAATTTAGTGGTATTTATGTTGCACAGTTTTAGTATTTGTACTCTGACTAGTCATTTTCAGTTTCAAATTCTCAGTCGTGTATCGAATATAGTTTGAAGCTCATTGAAGGTTTGAAACCGCAGAACATTCTTCAACGAAAAGATCTTAAGTCAAGTCAAGTCAAGCTTGACAGGCTGCGTTTCTTTTGTTTTTGACGTTGTTTCCATTCTTTTGCCATCCAGTATGGCAGATTTAGTACCATGTGACCGTTTCATGCAAAAGGCCTATTCAAACCACATAGGCAAATATATTTTTAATATATTACTTACTGATGAAAATCCGAGATTCTCGGCAGGCTTGAGACTGTGGACTGTGTCCTGGTGACGATAACGTTTTTTGAAATAGGTGTATACTAACCAGGAATGAAGAAAAATTACTATTGTATTATACTCCTCTTTTGAATTTGATGCAGTGGTAACGTGTGACGTTGTTTATGTAGTCCGTAGCTTTCTTCAGTGCTGTGGACATCGATACAGTATTACGCAAGGAGGTCACGCTTGATAGTAAGACACCTTCCAATCCGCATGGCTTACTCGAAGGACAAGGGATACCTACAGGTATAAGTTAGTCTTGCCTTCTCAACGCTCATAGTCCTCCTTTTTTCACTCTCTTTGAATCTCTTTCTTTTATGCTTCTTCGATTGTTCGTTTCTTCATTGTTTCCTCCCATTCAAATTTCAATTCTTCCCAGCCTTTTTTCTTAGCTTCAATTTTAACGCTCTCTCCATTTCATCTCTTTTCCTCTTTTCTCATTTCATCATTTCCTAGAAAATCTTTCAGTATTTCTTCCTTTCCTTCTAATATTTTATTATCTATTGCTTTATATTTTGCCAAGTAATACAATGAAAAACTGCCCATAATACGGACACTCCCTTATAACGGACCGATGTTTTCAACACGGCGACTTAAACCACTATACTTTTCTCACCGGTTAATTCGACCACCCCATTAATACGAACGATTAATTATATATGAATTAATACGATTTAACTTCGCTGTTCGGATTAACAAGGACGTACTGCATCAATCTTATTTGCAGGCGAAGCACTGAACATTTATGAAATACTTGACAAAACAGGCAATGGGCGTCTTGATGTCATGACTGAGGACTGTTCATCATAAAAACAGAAATGTTGAGATTCAAAGGTGGGCGTCCATGTTTTTCATTTTAGTTTATTTGTATTAAATTCATTAAATCTCATTTTTATGGCGTATCGCGCCGTAGCGGACAAAAATGCTTGTGTACTGATATATAATACAAATTCTTTATATGCGTCACGGCCGGGCCATCTTGGAGGATTTCTCTTTAGTATCTATTGTTGATTCCTCCAACATGGTCGCCGGTCTTTTTTTGTTTTGAATCTCATGGGAATGGTTGAAAACGATCAATATATGACTTGTTGTGAGCAATGTAAGACTTCTTTCGGAAATATTAGGCCCGGTTCATTATACGTCGAGCCAGCGTCGCGCCGATGCAAATAGTCAATTGGTGTCGACCCAAATACATTTGTTTATATTCTRAATTCTGATATTTTGGATGTAAACAACTACGTACATATTAACAAAGTTGTTTACGGTTTATGTACTCGCGCTCTATATGATAAAGCATTTGAGTTTGCCTTTATTGTTACAAGAGAAATGCAGAATTCGAAATAATATATAGCGCTATTTCAC